ACATTTTCAGTTATTTGCTGTTGTATCGCCGATTTTCAAAATGCAAATGATCTGTTTATTTTCAAAGAATAGTTTGTTTTGTTATTGTTTGGTTGGTGTCTTATATGAAACTGCGACATTGCGCAATTTATTTGACAGACAGATTACACAGCGTAATTTGGGTGGCATTTTATTTCGTATTTTTAAATCATCTTTTTATTTTTGACTATCTGTAAATTTAGTTTCCTGCTGTTAATTGTGAATGCATACTTGATGCTTTTAAATGCTCCTGAAATTAAGTGCTGCTTGACGAGCCTATACAGTATTGTGTTCATGTATGTGACGTCACTGAAGGCCTAAGGTTGAAATGCACGGCCCGCCACTGAGGAGCTGACGACAAATATAATGGAGTCATTAAACATTTAATCAACACAATTTTCTTCATTTTTTGCAAACATTTTAATTCAACAGCATAACAAATGTGATAAAAAAAATCATCTCTAGTTTCTACATATCCAAAAAGCTCGGGGCTTCTCCGCTGCTTGGAAAGGATATGACCAAGGGCAGCCGCAGCTGGGCGTAAAGTGTACGGTCTCTGCGCTGAAGGTGAACGATCATCATCGCAGAAGCTTTGGATCCTTTCTTCCTGATCGTATCGATCAGTGCACGTGCTCTGTCCGCGCGGGTCACGTTCCCCTCTATTATTGCTTCTCTCTCACCGTCATTCAGGGTTGTGTCCGAAAGGTCATCCAACAACTGATTAATAACTTCTTCACTGACTCGCTCCACAAATCTGGATCTCACTCGCAAAAGCTCAACATCTGGAACAAGAAAACAATGGAACTTAAAAGGTTCCCTCATTATGCTTTTGTTTGCATGGCAGTTAAACTTTGGGACTTGACTTCCAATAGCAATTATGAACGAAAGTCTCTTCAACATGACAGCCCAAAGCTGTTTTATCTGTCACATTTGAGAAGATTTGGGAATATCTGTGTGGATAAAACTATCATTGAGCAAACTCACAGAAGAACACGATTTCATGTAAAATTCGGACTTTGTTCTGACCATGCATTTTTCCCTCTTTGGTGTGACATTTATCACTCGTTTGAAACAAAACAATTAGCTCTGTCTTGTGTCCACGCTCGTGTCTCACATTTTCCTGCAGCAATATTTTATTTTGATGACTATTTGCAGTCAAATCAAGGCAAAAAAGAAAAAAGATAACAAAAAGATGGTCACCATATTCCGTCACGACACGCATGAAGGGTCTCTGACTTGAGTAGTCAACTGTGGAAAAGAAAAAGCAGATTATTCACGACCAAAATAATGTGTCGGTAATGTAGACAAACACACCAAATTTCTAAAAAAAAAATAAGAAGAAGAAGAAGAATACTTATCAGCACGCACATTGTCGAATCTCACAGCTCCACACTGTTCCAGTTGCATTTTCAAGTGAGAGGGTGAATTCATTTCCTGGTTGTTGGATGAACACCTCAATGTAATTAGGGTCCCAACTTTCATATATGAGCTGAAAATGCTATGAGAGAAATCCCAAAAGAATTCCGAGTAAAAAACAAAACCAAAAAAAAACAACCATCGTTCAAGTCAAGTGAAAATGTCAGCACTGTTGACCATTTCAGGTCCGGGCACAATTTGCTTTCTTTATTTAAGCTTAATTTCACCTGGCGGACCAGATTCTCATTTACAAGGTCAATGAATAGCACTGTCGAGTTTGGGCATGGGGAGGTTACATAATGTGAGCGGAGTACAAAGAGATAGTGGCTTCTTGTTAAATAGTCTGTCCATCCATTCTTCATGTGTTTCAGGTAAACGTGGGGCAGTCAATTTGTCTCTGCGAGTCAAGAGAGGGCCAAAATACAGGGAGTATTGTTCACAGTAGTGGGTGTTAAAAGGAGCACCGGTGAATAAAGTGGGCGGCAGCGTGGTACAGTAGATGGTGTCCACCTTGTGGAGTAGATATTTTGAAGCCGCCCGATGAGCACAATTGTGTTGAGCTCCTGTCAAAGGCAGTTCTTTCAGCCATACCTTTGGGCATATTGCTGCACCTTCCACATCAGTTTTCAGGCTGAATTGGTCATTCATGTTCAAGACACCCAGGGGGTAGGGCTTCTCAATCCTTTCGTAGCCTTTCTCTTCTGCTTTCTTTTGTAGTTCCTGCGATGGAAAAACACACAACAGTCACAAAGACACCTCATCAGCAGCAAAAGTGAAGTAAAAAAGAACCATATTGACTGCAGCAATCACACATGTGCCATGAAAAGAGATAATTACTGCTTCAAGAGCAGGGTCGCTCGGGATCAGATAAACATGTAGCGTCAGGAATGCTTTCTTGGTCTTGTAGATGAACACTTTGCACTTCAGAGACACAAGAAAGCCAGCCCAACGCTTGATCCGGGTGAGCACTCCTCTTGCAGAAAAATCTGTGTGCGGTAGCTTGACATGGGATGGTGTGACCTCGGGCACGTTTTCCACACTAACTCCATCATTATCTGAATGCAAAACTGCAAACTTCTCGAAAATTGTAGGATCAACAGCTGCACAAGAGAAAATGCACCATTGTTAATTTGCACACGACCCGACAATGTCTTTTCTCTGCAGCCATCCTCACTTACCCGTGCAGATCCAGTGTGGCAGATAGACCTCATCAAACTGCCCGTCAGTCAGCGTGATGTCCAATAAGGGGCCTGCAGGCATGTACTGCAGGGCTTCCAATTTGTGATCGTGCTCCCACCACTTGCCAAAGCGGTACTTAAAGCTCAGAGGAAAATCCTTACAAATCCAGCGCAGGCCCGAGACACTGCACTCAAATTTACCTGGTACACAGCAGAAGCTGGTGGGAAACAAGGTTATTATGGTTAATGAAAATGAATACAAATTGAAAAAAATGCTAATTAAAACCAAAAAAAAACTTTTTAAAAACAACGATAACAACAAGCTAAAATTACTTTTTACATTTACAATACAAACTAAAGATAACTTTATTGACAGGTAAACTGTCCTTTGTTTTCGCCTGACAATTCATTTCATGCATAAGCATTCAGTGTTTATTTTCAGCTGTGTGTTTACTTTGGCAATACTGTATGGAACAAGGAAGTTAAAAAAAAACATTAAAACAGTTGCGATTCCCTCACTGTATGGCGTGTAAATGCGAAGTCACCAGGTAGCACTTGTCTGGCGCTTGCCTGGAGTTGACACATTTGATATGGCTCCTCCGCTACTCCTACCACGTTTCAGCTAAATCTTAATCTCGCTTCCTGTTCTCAGACACTTTTGCTGCTTGCTCTCTCTTGCATTTTTACACTGACCAGCTTTTCTTCTCATCAGGAATGCTTTCTTGGTCTTGTAGATGAACACTTTGCACTTCAGAGACACAAGAAAGCCAGCCCAACGCTTGATCCGGGTGAGCACTCCTCTTGCAGAAAAATCTGTGTGCGGTAGCTTGACATGGGATGGTGTGACCTCGGGCACGTTTTCCACACTAACTCCATCATTATCTGAATGCAAAACTGCAAACTTCTCGAAAATTGTAGGATCAACAGCTGCACAAGAGAAAATGCACCATTGTTAATTTGCACACGACCCGACAATGTCTTTTCTCTGCAGCCATCCTCACTTACCCGTGCAGATCCAGTGTGGCAGATAGACCTCATCAAACTGCCCGTCAGTCAGCGTGATGTCCAATAAGGGGCCTGCAGGCATGTACTGCAGGGCTTCCAATTTGTGATCGTGCTCCCACCACTTGCCAAAGCGGTACTTAAAGCTCAGAGGAAAATCCTTACAAATCCAGCGCAGGCCCGAGACACTGCACTCAAATTTACCTGGTACACAGCAGAAGCTGGTGGGAAACAAGGTTATTATGGTTAATGAAAATGAATACAAATTGAAAAAAATGCTAATTAAAACCAAAAAAAAACTTTTTAAAAACAACGATAACAACAAGCTAAAATTACTTTTTACATTTACAATACAAACTAAAGATAACTTTATTGACAGGTAAACTGTCCTTTGTTTTCGCCTGACAATTCATTTCATGCATAAGCATTCAGTGTTTATTTTCAGCTGTGTGTTTACTTTGGCAATACTGTATGGAACAAGGAAGTTAAAAAAAAACATTAAAACAGTTGCGATTCCCTCACTGTATGGCGTGTAAATGCGAAGTCACCAGGTAGCACTTGTCTGGCGCTTGCCTGGAGTTGACACATTTGATATGGCTCCTCCGCTACTCCTACCACGTTTCAGCTAAATCTTAATCTCGCTTCCTGTTCTCAGACACTTTTGCTGCTTGCTCTCTCTTGCATTTTTACACTGACCAGCTTTTCTTCTCACGAAGCCAGAAGCAACATAAAGCAAACTTTTATACTGTATCTGTGAGACTGTTTTTTTTTTTTTTTTTGGGTACAGTCGGTTGTGGCCATTTTTCAACATTTTTCGTTTCCTCCTCACGACAACATGAACATTGCCTGCTAATTAGCACGAGACAGCTCTTAGCAACAAGACTAAAAGCATGCGACTTTTCTTTTGCACTGAAGTCTATCACAAGCTTCTTCAGCAGTTGGAAGCACTGGAGAGAAGAATATACCGCCTTGAAGTTTATGTGGTGGTAAATTGACAGTCCGGGAATGAAACCTCTTTACCGAGCTCTCAAAAAAGTGGGCCGGCTTAGGCTAATGGACAGCTAATTAGGTCCGCAAGGACGGACGTAGCCTTTGGAAACGGCACCCAGTCAGCAAAATTGGTCTGGCCCGGCTCTGTGCCACATACACCACTTGCACTTGGCCCACATACCTCAACAAATTACGTACCTTCCCAGTCAGCAAAGGCATCTGGCCCGCATTCGGCATGAAGCTGGCACAGCTGGCCTTGTGTCGGCACTGGCAAAATGCATGTGGGCCGAACACGGCCCAGGAGTGGCAAAGCAGGCACTGGCTTGACTCTGGCAAACCAGATGTGGGCCAATTGTGGAGTGAAGTATTTGGGCCAGAAATCAATTTACAACTCCGGCCCATATATGGCCAGCCAGTATTGAGCCACCCTTAAATGCAGTTTCCATTTTTTTTTTCTACACAGAGCCTTGTTTTACAATTGCAGACCTATGCGGAATTCCATTCATCACACACACACAAACACACACACACACACACACACACACACACACACACACACACACACACACGCGCGCGCTAGCGTGCCCGCACACACATTTGCACACGCACGTACTAATTCTTGTGCATGCTCGCTAGTGCGCACACACAAATTGAACATGGTCAAGTAAGATTATGTTGAAGTCGACTGGCGTCAGCGAATGAAGGTACAAGTTTTGAATCTGCGTGTTTTTTAGTTTTTTTCCTCGTACGTACTTTAATATACAACAGTCAAGTATTGCTACATTCCGATACAGTAGGTGGTGATGCACCGTAAACGTTCGTTTCCACCCGCCAATTAAGAAGAATAAGAACAACAAGAACAAGAAGAAGAAGCAAGAAGAACAGCGCTCACAGCCTCGCGTGGCGGGATGCCTCCGAGTGGCGCGAGGGGGGAACGCCGGGGCTTTTGGCACCTGATTCGGCTAAATGCCCACCAGCCGGCGGGGAAGGAGGTGGGGTCTCACCGGAAGGTGAGGCGCCCAGTGCTCGCCCCGCCGGAACAGAGGGGAGTGGGAGTAGCCGCCCCACAACCCTCCTGAAACAATAATCAGGCGAGGGCCCTGCCGGGGCCCTCACTGGGTGTGAACCTCGCGAGGCACCAGCCGATTGCCCAGGAGAAGGAGCAGGACAGCGCTCGCAGTTAACGACGATGCTCTTTGCCCACAGTTGGCCATGCACGCTCCAGTGAGACATCCAGAAAAGATGTGGTGAGTATATTTATTTCATGCTTAGGTTAACATTTGTCCTTTGTGACAGTGCATTGACAGTTACAATATGAAGACAATTCTGTTTAGAGTTTAGCCTGAATTTTGAAGGGCGCTAATAATGACGATTAGCATTAGCCCGAAATGGAGGGGGAGATTATGTGCTCCAAGACAGATATGACTTCTTTATGGTGCCATAGGGAAATATTAAATATATATTGTGCTACAATTTAAGGGTTATTTACATGTATTTTTTTTCTAAAATTGTCACCTGCAGTGTCTAAATTAAGACTGAAGCGCACGAATTTTGAAAATAAACTGCTCAGCTACGTCACAGGCAGGCTGGGCGTGAACCTGCTGCGTCACAGTTTCCGTGTGCATATGAGTTTAGTGAAAATGTAGGTGATTGAACAGTCAGAGGTGCTGCCAAAAAAGAACCCTTTCTGCACTGAAATACAATGAAATTAATTTTGATTCAGTTTGCTGCGATACAAACTGGATACTTCATACTTGGCCATAAAGTTCATTTAAAACTTATTACCTCAATTCAAAATCAAAATCTGATGTTGAAATAAAAAGTTTTGTATTTGTAAGATTGAATATGAAAATAAACAGAATTTATTTTCAGTGAGGATCAAATACAGTTTCAAAGAAAAAAAAGTATCCTTTCAAATTCAAATTGTACAATTCAGATTCAGTTATTCAGTATGATTAAGAGTAAAATGTACAAATCCATCCATTATCTGAACCACTTAACTTCAATTCATGTAATTCAAATTCGGTATAAACTATTTAAGTTATTCACGTTTAGTTTTTGGTGGCAAATATTCCGCTCCACAGTGTCACACCTAGTTTAAGAAATTTCAAGGGTTATTTTTACTGACCATTCATTGGTCATGACATGTACAAATGTTTGTTTTCCTAACACACTGTCCATCCTTGTTTTCTTACAGTTCTTACAGCCGCTGTGAGACCTAACAGCCAAACATCTTGGGCCTCAGACCAGGAAATCGATGTCACAATCAAGAGACGGCTACATCTGGCTCCTAATCGGGATGGTGACAGGAAGGAGAGCATGAGAAGAAAAGCTCTTCAGTGGCAAGGCCCCAGGGGTGGATGAGATCCGCCCGAAGTTCCTCAAGGCTCTGGATGTTGTGAGGCTGTCCTGGTTGACACGCCTCTGCAACATCACGTGGTCATCGGGGAAAGTGCCTCTGGATTGGCAGTCCGGGGTGGTGGTCCCTCTTTTTAAAAAGGGGGATAGGAGGGTGTGTTCCAACTACAGAGTGATCACACTCCTAAGCCTTCCTGGTAAGGTCTATTCAGGGGTGCTGGAGAGGAGGGTCCGTCGGGAAGTCAAGCCACGGATTGAGGAGGAGCAGTGTGGACCAGCTCAACACCCTTAGCAGGGTCCTTGAGGGTACGTTGGAACTTGCCCAACCAGTCTACATGTGCTTTGTGGACTTGGAGAAGGCGTTTGACCGTGTCCCTCGGGGAGTTCTGTGGGGGGTGCTTCGGGAGTATGGGGTACCGAACCCCCTGATACGGGCTGTTCAGTCCCTATACTACCGATGTCAGAGTTTGGTTCGCATTGCCGGCAGTAAGTCGGAATCGTTTCCAATGAGGGATGGACTCCACCAAGGTTGCCCTTTGTCGCTGAATCTGTTTATCACCTTTATGGAGAGAATTTCAAGGCGCAGCCGAAGCGTTGAGTGGGTCCGTTTTGGTGACCTCAGTATTGCATCGCTGCTTTTTGCAGATGATGTGGTACTGTTGGCTCCTTCAAGCAGGGCTCTCCAACTCTCACTGGAGCGTTTCGTAGCCGAGTGTGACGTGGTTGGGATGAAGATCAGCACCTCCAAATCTGAAACAATGGTCCTCAGTCGGAAAAGGGTGGAGTGCCCTCTCCGGGTCGGGGAGGAGATATTGCCCCAAGTGGAGGAGTTCAAGTATCTTGGGGTCTTGTTCACGAATGAGGGCAGGAGGGAGCGAGAGATCGACAGGCGGATCGGTGCAGCGTCCGCTGTGATGCGGACTTTGTATCGGTCTGTCGTGGTAAAGAAGGAGCTGAGCCAAAGGGCGAAGCTCTCAATTTACCGGTCGATCTACGTCCCAACCCTCATCTATGGTCACGAGCTATGGGTCGTGACCGAAAGAATGAGATCCCAGATACAAGTTGCCAAAATGAGCTTTCTCCGTAGGGTGTCTGGGCTCTCCCTTAGAGATAAGGTGAGAAGCTCGGTCATCCGGGAGGGGCTCAGAGTAGAGCCGCTTCTCCTCCACATCGAGAGGAGCCAGATGAGGTGGCTCGGGCATCTGATTGGGATGCCTCCTGGACGCCTCCCTGGTGAGGTGTTCTGGGCATGTCCCACTGGCAGGAGACCCCGGGGACGACTCAGGACACGCTGGAGAGACTGTCACCCAGCTGGCCTGGGAACGCCTCGGGATCCGCCAGGAAGAGCTCGAAGAAGTGGCTGGGGAGAGGGAAGTATGGGCTTCCCTACGAAAGTTGCTGCCCTCGCAATCCGACCCCGGATAAGCAGCGGAAAATGGATGGATGGATAGATAGATTTTTTGCCTTTGAAACTGTATTTGATCCTCACTGAAAATTACATTCTGTTTATTTTCATATTCAGTCTTACAAATACAAAACTGAATTTAAACATCAGATTTTTTTTTAATTCAGGTTTTCAATTAACCTCATGGCCAAGTATGAAGTATCCGGTTCGTATCACAGCAAACGGAATCAAAATGAATTTCATTGTATTTCAGTGCAGAAAGGTTTCTTTTTGTTATCTTGCCCAAAATTACTGGCAACACCTCTGACTTTACAATCACCTACAATTTCACTCAACTCATATGCACAAGGAAACTGTGATGCAGTGGCACTGTCTCCAGTCCAAACAGCATGGCTGGTCTCACCACGGTTTTATACACCTTTCCTTTCATCTTGGCTGAAACTCTTCTATTGCACATCACACCTGACACTTTTCTCCAGCCGTTCCAGCCTGCCTGTACACGCTTCTTCACCTCTTTTCCACACTCTCCATTACTCTGGACAGCTGACCCCAAGTACTTAATTTGTGTGTGCGCACAAGCGAGCGTGCACAAGCCGGAGTGTGTGCGAATAGAATTCCGCATACGTCTGTGATGTAAAACAAGGCTGTGTGTAGAAAAAAAAATCTGAAACTGCATTTAAGGGTAGCACAATACTGGCTGTCCATATATGGCCCAGGGTTGTAAATTGATTTCTGGGCCACATACTTCACTCAACAACCGGGCCACATCTTGTTCGCCAGAGTCAAGCCAGTGCCACTTTTGCCACTGGTGGGCCATGTTCGGCCCACATGCCTTATGCCAGTGCCGAAGCAATGCCACCTGTGTCAGCGTCATCCCAAATTTGGGCCAAATGTCTTTGCTATCTGGGCAGTGCATCATCCGGTGGCCTTCCCTGAAATAGACTGGGAGCGAAGTCGATAGACGTGAGACAGTGGAGCCAAGCATGCACAAATGAATGGGGAATCTGATTGATTGGTCTGAGCTGAATATCTCTTCAACCCCAAGGAGAAAACAGCCATGGACAATAGCTGTAAGAAAAAGCAGCAGCAAACACAAACTTCGCAGACCATAGATGTCCAAGGAAAAAAAAATTACTAAAAAGATTTGCTCCATTTCTGTCCCCCTGATGGAAACATTCCATCAAAAGAAACAGTCATCTACTAAGCCTCAAAAATTGATAATCAGTCCCAGAGCGTTAACGGAGATAACACCAAAGTGCTGCTGTTTTACCGATGACAAGGTGTCCAATAGATAGAACCAAAAGCAAAACAAATCCTTTTCGAAGAACAAAAAACTAGTCAACAAGAAACCCGCTATGAAATCTACTTCAAGCGCGCCGAATTTGGAAGACTAAAGTCTACATGAAATACAAACTAATGATCACAAAAAAGGAAAAACAAATGATGACATCTACAGCACATAGAGATGCTGAATAGTTTCGCTGTTAGAATAAAAAAATAAGAGCAGCGATCGCCAACAAAGTTGAACATTCAATAAACCTACAGTTAAGTCCAACAGTGTCGATTTCAAAAGAGTCCTTCGTATCCCATCCTATCATGCAGAATGTTTTGGATTATGAGCCGTTCCTTTACTTCTTTGTACATTTCTCTTCCGATCATTCTGGTACCACTTGACGAAGGTGTTTTACATTCAGAAGCAATCAATTCCGTTTCAACACCGTAGGTATTAGTTTCCCTATTGCACCCAGTGACTGTAGTGAAAATGTGTTTCACCTGTACCAGGTGCCCCCATCATCACGGCTCACTTCAGGTTCACGATGAATCCATTCATCCTCAGCAACTGTTGCTGTTTCAGTGAACCACTTCTCCTGGTTAAAGGGACAAAACATGCAATGAAAAGTTACAGTGATTGGGAATTATCCCCCTCCACTTCACCCATTTTCATTGAATTTCATGGAATTAAAATATTATTTGATTCTTCATTTTGGGGACACGTCAAGAATTTGAATAGAGGAAGACAATCAACATTTTGTAGAGGATGTACTTACTGTGACAACTTCAAAGTGTTTTCTTTTGTAGACTTTCACCGATGATGATTTGGACCTGAAAGGGGTCAAGTATTACGTGTATAAATGAGTAAACAAATATAAAACAATCAAGCCTTGCCAAGTACTTAACAACAGACAAGCTGTCTGGTCATTGTCAGTTTATTGACCTTACTCGCTATTGTTCTTCAAGGGTTATTTTCTAGACCAGGGGTCAGGAACCTGTGGCTCACGAGCCAGGAGTGGCTCTTTTCATGATTGCAACTGTCTCGCAGATAAAACAAAATATTCTCACTTGTTTAACCCATCCATCAATTTTTCACTGCTCATTTCGTGTTCAGGGCTGCAGTTGCCGGCAGGAGCAATTTTAATTGGATGTTCCTGGTTTACATTGGCCGTTGCTGGCTAAATAGGTAAACACCCTCTTTTGAATCACTCTGCTCAGTCACTAGCTCAAAGCTAACCCCTTGACAAAGCAGATGGTGAAAAGATGACGAGTGTGGTACACTTCAGGACGAAAGGACAGAAGAATTCGCCTTTATGGAGACAACAGCTTCTGTGGTGTGTCTAATTTTCAGTGTCAAAATTGTATGGATGAAACTGTCGAATGTAAAGCGGCACGTTGACACGTGCCATGCTACCTTCGCATCCAAATACCCTGTGGGAGACAACAGAAGTAAGCGTGCTAGCTATAGAGCAGAGTGCAAGCTAGCCAGCAGCAACTCCGCGTATGGGCCCGGCAAAGTGACAATAATTCCGCTATCTTTGCTGGATTTTTAGCAATAATGAGGAATGGAAAACTGTTTTCATTAATTTTAATTTTTTTATGAAAAAAATAAATAAATAAATTGAAAGTGCTCTATAAATACTGTTGAGTTGAGATGAATGGTGAGTCGTATAACAACATTATTTGAAAGAATAAATTCAGACGCTTATTATACTGATATTGTGTTGAATTCAATTTTAAAATGCAGTCAAACCTTGGTTTTTGTCCATAATCCGTTCCAGAAGGCTGTTCGAAAACCGAATTGTTCGAAAACCGAAACCACGCTCTTTTAAAAAAAAAAATGTTTATTGAACACGTCTGCTCACAATGAAAAGCGACACGAGGAAGCGTCACTTCCTCGTCTATCCGACGAAGCATCACTTCCTCGTGTAAGGAAGGCGAGAGGAGTCAAGTGGTGCATTCAAGTACGCTCAGTTTGTTCGAGAACCAAAACACAGTTGTAATCCGAGGCATAAAAAAAACTAGAAATTTTTTAACAATGTTAACAAAACAGTTAACATAAAGTAAAATAATAAACACAACACATAACATAAAACACGGACAGTCGTGCAGTCCTAACCACTTTTCCGGGACACGCTTTCTCTCTCTCCTCATTCTCAACTTCAAGCCAGCCATCCATCCAGCCGCACCAACGCCGACTGTCCAACAGCGCCGACATCTCCACTGAACAAAACGGGGTTGTGAAAAATGCTGCCCATTACAGGCGCAAAAAACACAAGCGCCCCAGGTCTGTCCAGCCCCGACAGTCAATGGCGCCGACATTCCTCCCAATCAAAATCTGTGCTGGTACAGGCGTGCTGCCGAGAAGGCGCAACCACCAAGCACAGATACTTCTCCTTTGACGAATGTCGTGGCCAAAAAACGCTGAAAACAGTCCATATCAGGTCCACACGATGAAACAACAAACAAAATGTGACAAAACAAAAGACAAAAACAACAAAAAAGAACAAAAAAGCAAGGCTCTTGAAGAGCACTTGCAGAAGGCTGCCTACTCGGGCGCCATCTTGGG